TACTAGATTCTTTTACTCTAAACTCATACACCTAGCAAGAGATACCATAACATACATCTCACTTACAGAAAATAAAGCTTTCTATTATGTTAGAATGATTTCCTCCAACACCTTACAGATTATAAGCCACAACACTCCTTCCCTTTACAGTTATTGCTCTTATCTTATTTGATCTTAAGTGAACAAAAACAGCTGTGCATTTTAAACTATATGTAAACTGAAATTTCAATGATACACTGAAAACACTAAACTCCATTACACAAATTTATAAAAATCAGAGAAGACAGCATTCTCAGAAAAACCAAGTTGGTTAACAACACTCATTTTAACATGACAATTTAATATATATTTTCTCTCCAGTTTTGAAAATAGCATCCTGCCACTTAAATAAGCACTTTTCACTTCTTACCTGCCTACATGTTTTGGTCCCAATTAATCTAGCAATTGCACAGAAATTATCATAGTAGGTGCCAATGAGAACTCTGAACATCGAAGCTTCTGCACCACTCCATTCCACGTTCTCAGGAGGCTCAATATTTGGCTTCATCTTTATTGGTGTCTGACACCTGGAATTTGCCTCTGCAACATCAAGAAGATCTATTAGGTTGAGATTTCTCTCTCAATTTACCTAAGTTCCCATGATCCTTAAAAGCACTCAGTTATGTGTGAAACTATAACAGAACAAAGTTCTGTTTTTTTTGGTGGGGAGGAAAGAACACCATTTACAGAAGTTTTTACACATCTATAGACAAGAAGCTATAATCAGTGGGAAGAATGCAGATAGTATAGTCTAGCTTCTGAAAGCATTCATGAAGTTTCATTATCATGCTCTGTGATAAAAGCACTACTCCATATAATCTAACTAGGTCCAAATACACTCAAAATATGTGCCTTCTAAAGTTGCTTGCTTAGACTTTGAGCCCTCTCTTTACAATCACTACAAGTCATTTCTTATTTAAAGCAATGATTGGCCTCACCAGAAGAACTGGATGTTTCATCTTTCTTCTCCTCTTCCTCTTTATCATTATTTTCACCTCCAGTTTCTCCTCCTGCTTCCCTGTCACTATCTGTGTCCTTGGATTCCAACACATTTATTGTTGGTGTGCTTGGCCTGCTGGTGTTATTTGGAAGTCTTCCTCTTCGGCGGCCACCTGGGCGCTTTGGTGGTGTCTTTATTCGCTCAGCAGTCAGAGCAGCTGCAAACTCCTTTGCCCCTTCCTAAATAAAAAATACTAGCATCTTCAATATATGGGTTTGAAATGTTTTAATTTGGGTAGGTGAGAATGGATGCTCAGTCACTCGAAGCCAAACCCTGACATATGAAAAATGCATAATTTGCACAGCAGGTGTCCGATAAAATATCCTATTTACATATTTTAATTTTATCCATGATATTTTATGAGTCTTTTCACGCTCATGAATTTTACTATGTGCATCAGTAAAGTACACACAGTTTGAGATCAATTTATTTAGCTTTGATATTAGTACCCAAATTCTATTTCTCTTTGACTGAAAAGAAATGAAAAACTATTTTCATCTTCTTTGTTGATGGCAGAAATGCACAAAGTCCATTGCCAAAAAAAAAAAAATGTTGGGAACCGTTAAGATGTAATAGAAAAGAGATTTAGTAGTTCAGGGAAAGATGAATACAGCATAGTATTTTCTCTCATTTTCTTTGAGACGGAGATGGTTGAGAGAACATATAGCAAAAAATTTTTTTATTGGAAACAGAGTTTGCTGTTCAAAGAACTGTTTCCACATCCCAACAACCACGGCTGCTGGATCCTACCCAACCAGGTCCCAGCTCCCAGCCCTGAGGAGGGAGAGAGGCAGGAAGATGCAGACAAAGTGCAGGTGCTGTGTCCCAAGCCTATGCCAGCTGACTGCCACCATTACAGGGAAAGACGCAGCTCCTCCCCTTCGCCGCCGCCCCCTCCCCCACACCTGGAGAGTGAGATCATAGGCATCCTCTCCTAGGACTCACACACCTGCACCCCCCAAATACCCATCTCTTAGTACACATACACCCCTACTGCATCCTCAAATACCCACTCTTAGTATACTCGCCCTTTCAACTCCCTCCTCCCCTTCAGTTCTGCCTCTAGTAGCGTCTTTTTCTGGGGAAACTGACATAGTGCAAGTACAGGGTTACCATGTTTGAGGTGCAAGCTTTCATATGAAATAATTCAACTTCCCAATTTGAACTTTGGCCTGGTCACTGGAGTCACTATCCCTACTTACCGAGCCCATGCGCGCCTGGGATGCCCCCCCGCCGGCTTCCCCCGAGGCTTTCAAAGCCGCGGAGGGGCTCCGGCGGCGGGGCATCCGGCGTACAAGACGACCCCCGATTTTTGGGGGATGTTTTTTAACTTCAAAGGTCGTCTTGTACGCCGGAATATACGGTACTTTGTGAAAAGTACTATGAAAGTGTTGACTACAAGTTGCCAGTACCTAAATGTTACATTTTTAATAACACAAGATCTGTTAACATGATGTGGGACATTAATTACTAACAGAATTTCCTATAGTACTGCATAGTATAGCTTTAGTGAATTCATTTAACTATGGGTTTAACCTGTTTCAACACTTGATTTTTCTTTTTTGCTAAATAGAAAGAAGTACAAAAACTCTCAAATCTCCATCTACCTAATGAAAGAAATTATCTTACCAGATGCTGATAACAATGCTGCCCACAAGGCTTATTATCTATTGCTGTTTCTGTATTCTTCCGTTTGTAAGTGTTAGGAGTTGCATGGAATGCTGTGAAATAAAAATATTTTCCAAATAAGCATTTTAAAATGTGTTTCACAAACAAATACTTGCAAAATTAAAAACGTATCTGAATTTTACTAAAAATAGCCTGATGACAACCATAATAATAGCGAAAGAAAAACCTAATGACATTTTTGTCATTTAAAACATAACGGAAATAGAGTGTACAAGTAAGACTGTGCAAAACAGATAACTTATAGTTTCTGTTTCCACCTGTTCAGATAACTATCCTACGTAAAATGGATTAATTATCCTTTTCAGCCTATCATACCAGAGGCAATTTTCTGGGGGAATTTTGTTTCTAT